GAATGCGATCGCCTGCGGATCTGCAGCTGGGCACCGGCCGCAGCGCCCGCCCCGCCGACGGCAGGTGAGATACGCGCAGCCCCGTGGGAGGGGTCTCCGCCTTGCCCTCATCACCCACTTCCTTCCCCTTGGTCGCTGCTGCAAGGCTGGGGATAGGGGGGAACAAGTACTTCTCAGGGTGACCCGGGGAGATCTCTGAGCCAGTGGCCTCGGCGTTGAATGAGGGCTCTCTCTCGGGTCCGCCCTCGCAGGGACTGAAGGGACTCGTGAACGTTCGCGGACGTGTCTCGGTGGCGCCCAGCACCGAGGAGGCAGGCAGGAAGGTGAGGAGCAGGTCTGACCGGCCGCAGGTGCAGGGCCTCCTGTTCTCCGAGGCTGCGGTCCCGTGGAGGGCCTGCAGACAGCTGCCTAGACCATGAGGGTCAGAGGTCTGCGGTCACGCGCGCTGTCACCAGCTAGCTGCCTCCTGCCTGGTTCCTCCTGCAGGAATGGGAGTCTGGGGGGAGGGGAGGGTGTGGGCAGGACTTCCTGGAAAAGGGAGGCCGGTTGGTGTTTATCTGTGGGGTGGAGAGAGGGCAGGGGGAGGACAGGGACACACACAGAGTGCCGCACTCAGATGTCAAACCCACATCCCACACCACACACGCAACTCACCCTAGAGACGCAACCCAGGCACACACATGGACACACACAAAACTCCATCCGTAGGGATTCCCACCCAGTGCCACGTGAGAACGCAGGCGTGCATCGCAGACAGGCCACACAGGCTCGGCGTACAGGTTTGCAGCAACCCGGTCAGGTACAGAGCCGAGGCCCAGGTAGGTATGCTCAGCTGCACGCAGGAAGCAAGACACACCCAGACATACACAGGCAAGCCCTCACTCAGAGAAAGAAGGTGCAGATGTGTCTTGGGTAATCGCAGCCACAGTCTCTCAAGCGTCACACACACATACTGACACTCAGATACACAGACACACAGAGATACCCAGGACATGTCAAGCCCACAGCACAAACAGGCCCCTACAGGTTGACCCGGAGGCTGTGTGGGCCGAGGCTGCTGCACACGTGTGCCCAGATCCTCCCACCCCCACCCCAATCCCGTGTCCTGCTCCAGGGAAGTCCAGGCAGGGCTCACATGACCCAAGGGGAGGGCTCCCGGGACAGCCCTCGGAGAAACTGCATCATCCTCACGAATGATCCACTTCCTCCCCAGGGAATAAAGGCTCAGGGACCAGCAGTTCTGCCCTGGAGCCCACCAGCCTCTCAGAGCCTCCAGTGACTGGCCTGTGTCTCCCCCAGGGTGAGTGCTGGGCAGGCTAGGTGGAAGGAGGGTGAAACGGGCCTGCGAGGCCATCTTGGTGCAGCTCGCCCTCTCACAGATCACCCCCCCTACCCTAAGCCAGCTTGTGCAGCCGTGTCCTGAGAACTAGGGCACCAAGGGGTTCCCGCAGGGGCAGCCTGTAGCAAGCGGTCTCCCACTATCTCAGGGCAGGCGGGGGTCTCAAGGCCTCCCTGCCCTTGTCACAGCCCGGGCCACCTATGCTTGTCTCTCTTCTCCCAGATGGACATGTGGACGGCGCTGTTCTTCCTACAAGCCTTGTTGCTACCCTCCCTGGCTGATGGTGCCACCCCTGCCCTGCGCTTTGTAGCCGTGGGCGACTGGGGAGGGGTCCCCAATGCCCCATTCCACACGGCCCGGGAAATGGCCAATGCCAAGGAGATCGCTCGGAGCGTGCAGATCCTGGGTGCAGACTTCATCCTGTCTCTAGGGGACAATTTTTACTTCACTGGTGTACAAGACGTCAATGACAAGAGGTTCCAGGTCTGTGCCCAACAGAGTGGGGCAGGAGGTGGGGGCGGACAGTGGGGAGAAGCCACCTTACCTAGTGACCTTCCTTTGGAGAGGGCAGAGGGAAGGTGATGGGGCACCTTTGGGTGCCGGGAACATTCCATGTCTCCCTTACCCCTGGCCCCTGACTTGGTAGGAGGATCAGGGTAGCCAATGACCCCAGGGAAGGGGCCTGCCCTATCTGTTTGCTACAGGAGACCTTTGAGGACGTATTCTCTGACCGCTCCCTTCGCAACGTGCCCTGGTACGTGCTGGCTGGAAACCATGACCACCTCGGCAACGTCTCTGCCCAGATTGCCTACTCTAAAATCTCCAAGCGCTGGTGAGCCACCCTCAGCCCTGCCTCCCCCAGATCCTCACACAGCGGGGACACAGGGGCCCTGTGGCTTGAGCTGACTCTGGGACTTCTGGGCCCAAGATGTGCACCCACGACCTCTATCCCCTCCACAGGAACTTCCCCAGCCCTTTCTACCGCCTGCGCTTCAAGATCCCACGGACCAATGTGTCTGTGGCCATTTTTATGCTGGACACAGTGACACTATGTGGCAACTCAGATGACTTCCTCAGTCAGCAGCCTGAGAGGCCCCGAGACGTGAAGCTGGCCCGCACACAGCTGTCCTGGCTCAAGAAACAGCTGGCAGCAGCCAGGGAGGACTATGTGCTGGTGGCCGGCCATTACCCCGTGTGGTCCATAGCCGAGCACGGGCCTACCCACTGCCTGGTCAAGCAGCTACGACCACTGCTGGCCACATACAGGGTCACCGCCTACCTGTGCGGCCATGATCACAATCTGCAGGTGAGGGTCCTGTGGGCAGGGTGGGAGCTGCGTGAGGGGGCCCCCATCCCAGCTGATGTCCACATGGCTGGGGTCCTCCCGCTGTCTAAGGGGCTCCTGTGGCCTTCAGAATGTCTAGACTGTCCCTCAAATCTTGCTGTCTAACCAGGAAAACACTCCAAAGCCAGAATAATATCTTTGACTTGACAATTTCTTTCTTTTTTTTTTTTTTTGAGACAAGGTCTCACTGTTTTTCACCCAGGCTGGAGTGCAGTGGCACAATCAGGGCTTTCTGCAGCTTCAATCTCCCGGGCTCAGGTGATCCTCACACCTCAGCCTCCAGAGTAGCTGACACTACAGGCGTGTGCCACCACGCGCAGCTAATTTTGGCTTTTTTTTTTTTCTTGAGAGGGAGTGCAGTGGCACGATCTCAACTCACTGCAACCTCCGCCTCCTGGGTTCAAGTGATTCTCTTGTCTCAGTCTCCTGAGTAGCTGGGATTACAAGCATACGCCACCACACCCTGCTAATTTTTATATTTTAGTAGAGACGGGGTTTCACCATGTTGGCCAGGCTGGTCTCGAACTCCTGACCTCAAGTGATCTGCCAGCCTTGGCCTTCCAAAATGCTGGGATTACAGGTGTGGGCCACCGTGCCCGGTCCTTGTGAATTTTTTTGTCGAGGCAAGGTCTCACTATGTTGCCCAGGCTGGTCTCAAATTCCTGGGCTCAAGCAATCCACCCGCCTCAGCCTCCCAAAGTGCTGGGATCACAGGCATGAGCCACCACACCTGGTCACCAATTTCTTAACTAATTGCTCTACCTATGAAATAGGATTAATACACTCCTAACAGTTGGGAAATTGAAGCCAGGAGGGGTTACATACCTCAAGGTGACTCTGTGGTTAGGGCCAGATCAAGCCCTGGACCTTAGGCAGGCTCCCTGCTCAAAGCTGGGTCTCCACTGACCCCTTGTCCTCCATCCTCAGTACCTGCAAGATGAGAACGGCGTGGGCTATGTGCTGAGTGGCGCTGGGAATTTCATGGACCCCTCGAAGCGGCACCAGCGCAAGGTCCCCAACGGCTATCTGCGCTTCCACTATGGGACTGAAGACTCACTGGGTGGCTTTGCCTATGTGGAGATCAGCTCCAAAGAGATGACTGTCACTTACATCGAAGCCTCGGGCAAGTCCCTCTTTAAGACCAGCCTACCGAGGCGAGCCAGGCCCTGAACTCCCATGACTGCCCAGCTCTGAGGCCCGATCCCCACTGTTGGTGGGTGGGCCCTGCTGGGACCCTACTCACAGAGAGGCTTTTCCTCCGACCTGTGGCGCTGCAGCACGGCAGGAAGGGGAAGCACAGCTGATGAACTGTGGTGCCACGTGACCCTTGTGGCACAGATGCCCACGTATGTGAAACAGACATGGACACGTGTCCCAGCCACAGTGTTATGCTCTGTGGCTGGCTCACCTTTGCTGAGTTCCGGGGTGCAGTGGGGGAGTAAGGGAAAGCTTCCTCCTAAATCAAGCATTTTTCTGTCACTGATGTTCAATAAAAGAATAGTTGCCAAGGCTGAACCAGTGCCACTGGTGTGTTATATTCTCCTGGTTAGAGTGGCTGGGCTCCCCTGAGCCACTGTTCCTTGCCTCCGTCTCTTACCCCATCCATAACCCAGTTGCCTTATCCATGGATGTGATTTTAAAATCCAAGCAGAGGCCAGCCTCGGGGGTTCACATCTGTAATCCCAGCACTTTGGGAGGCCAAAGCAGGTGGATTATTTGCGGTCAGGAGTTCGAGATCAGCCTGGCCAGCATAGTGAAACCCCATCTCTACTAAAAATACAAAAACTTAGTCAGGCTTGCTGGCATGTGCCTGTAGTCCCAGCTACTCGGAGGCTGAGGCAGGAGAATCACTTGCACCTGGGAGGTGGAGGTTGCAGTGAGTCAAGATTGCGCCACTGCACTCCAGCCTGGGCAACAAGAGTGAAACTCTGTCTAAAAAAAAAGAAAAAAAAAAAAAATTGACCAGTTGTGGTGGCAGGCGCCTATGGTCCTAGCTACTCAGGAGGCCGAGGCAGGAGAACTGCTTGAACCCAGGAGGCGGAGGTTGCAGTGAGCTGAGATTATGCCACTGCACTCCAGCCTGGGTGACAGAGCAAGAATCTGTCTCAATCAATCAATCAATCAATCAATCAATAAAATGGGCCAGGCAGGATGTCTCTCGCCTATAATACCAGTACTTTGCAAGGCCTAGGTGGGCGGATCACTTGAGGTCAAAAGTTCAAGACCAGCCTGGCCAACATGATGAAACCCCATCTCTACTAAAAATACAAAACTTATCTAAGTGTGGTGACACATGTCCGTAATCCCAGCTACTTGGGAAGCTAAGGCAAGAGAATTGCTTGAGCCCCGGGGGTTTGGGGG